CCTTCTTGGAGTGCAACATTTGGAGTGGAATACCGCAAGAAATCGTGGGGGTAAAGGAGCGTGTTGACTGGTTGTTGAGTAGACTACCCACCAGATGGGAAGCAACCGGGAGTGCAAATGGCGAAGTATAAGCACTGGATGGGGCTGCCCTTTTCGGGAGCCGCAGCCGTCATGTGGCCAACACATGCTAAGGTTTTCATTCCTCGTTTAGCACATCGTAAGGTAATGCAGTTTCGTTTATGTTGTTGGGCTTTCGAGGCAAACAGAGCATGAAGGGGCAAGTACCACGTCCCCAGGGGGCAGCGGTTTTGCCACTGTTGTGGTACTAATAGCCGAATTGAGGATGTGAACGCCTGTTAATAGAATGCCCAGCCTGTAATGATATTCGTGCTGAAGAGGGATTCGGTCATCAACAGAGCATGTTGGAGGCCATGCAATGGGAACCCGCACATGCGGCGAGGATATTGGAACATATGCGGGCTCACCAAAACTCAATTACCCCTTTTAGACGCTAGTCTGGGCTGATGTGCGGTGTTTTCCTTTCCTCCGTGGCTTTTAGGTGTTGTAGTATTACCCTTGGGCCTCGGCTCGTATGGGTAGTCTTACAGGTATGGGGTCACGCACCCCCAACCATGTAACACACACACACGCATAAAACGTCTTCGTCGCAATTAAGCCCGTGAAATTTTACGGGTGCTGTGCATTACGGCTTGGGGGATTACGGGTCAAGACCTTGTGATTACGGGTAATGTAACCTGTGGATGACTTCCAGCACAGGCAACCAACAAAATGTCACCTATGTTATTCCTTATAAAAGGAATGCTTTGGCAACTTAAAAATAAGCATGTGTACAAATTTTCTTGGCCGGTAATTACATGTGAAGACCATGTGATTACGGGTAAACATGAATTTACGGGTGAAAACCTTTCCCAGAGTGTACTACACTGTGTGAATCGAAATACACACGTGCATCGAGCCACGTATATGAATAAGTGCAGTACTGTAATCAAATACAGGGTGTAACAAGACAGGCGAACTACAAGAGCAGCAATTAACTAGCCACTGGATTATAAAGTGGAGAAATTGCAGCTACCAATGTTCGCCAGTACCTTGAAGGTCGTAATGGGCACACATCGTCATCAAGGCGCGGAAAATAGCATGAGCAGTAGTCGCCTCAGCCGCCGCCAGCATCAGTGGGACTATGACTGCTGCAGCCCGCCGACAGAACGACCATCTAACTGTGGCTTCCACCGATACTTCCCGCCGAGGAGGCTCTGCCTGCCCACCACCACAAACGTCCTGCTGGTGCTGCTGCCAGTGGTGCTGCTGCTGAGTGTGCAAAAGGGAGCAGCCGTCAACCCCTCACCACCGCCCCCTCCCCCCATGCCGCCCGTACCCCCCTGCGGTCCGGCGACCGTCCTCTACCAGGATGGTGTCCCTGTCAGCGCTATTCGGACTCCCGTCCTAGCAGAGGAGACTGGCCAGGAGATCAGCCTCGCTTACATTTTGCAGGGTATCGATACGGATGCCAATGCGGGATTTGCCTACAATGGGACAGCAAGCATCGTGATACGCTGGGAACAACCATCAGACTGGGTGACGAGTTTTGGCTTGTTATCCGAAGCCGAATTCAATGCATCTTACAATGGCAGTGCAGGCTGTGTTGCGCCAACCACATACGGAAGTCCATTTGGCTATATTCGAGTGGGCTATGGAACAATACTTACCCTCCCCATTTTCTATATTACAAGCACCGACTACTCCAGCTTGATTCAACTCTGTGGGCCCCCAACCACATTCTACTTAATCGTGACCCTGTACAATGTAAACGACGGCAGCGTCGCTTGGGCAGCAACTGACTGGGTGGCTGCCAATAATGCTACCAACCCCATCTGCCCGGACTCCCCCACTACCTGGGGCTATATCAAGTTCGGCATAGGCTACTGCCCCTGCCCGGCTCAGCCCCCGCCGCCAAGTCCCCCACCTCCGCCACCTATGCCGCCTGCACCATCCTGCGGTGTCGTATTGACAACCAGCCAAGGTGTACCAGTGTCGGGTATCAGGGCCCCATTTCGATCCAGCCGGACCGGGGAGGAGGTCAGCCCGGCATTTATATCTGTTCAATTTGACCCCAGCATCGGTGACCCAATTGTTGCCTTTGGCCTTCCAAACCTCGTGGCTGAATGGCAGCCAGATATTACCGTCAGGTGGTTCGGAAACCTTTACCTCGAGAGCGATTTTCAGAGCATATATAATGGCAGCACCGGGTGTCGTGATATAAGCTCCAGACGTGACCTTGGTTATAAACAATGGTGGCCAGGCCAAAACGCAACATTTGATGTAGGGTTTTACGTACTTAGTTATGTGGTTAATGTTC